ATGGGCCGGGCGTTGAGGCGGTCGGTGCTCGCGCTTTGCTCACCTCCTTGTTGATGCGCCGGAGCTCCGTGTTCTTGTTGAGCAGCAGCAGCTTCTCCTCGTCGGCCGAGGTCACCGTTATGCTCTCGGAGATGTAGGTGACGATCTCCCCCGAGTCATGCTGGCTGGAGAGGACGGGCTCGCTGAGCGCTCGCAGGGCGCCCTCCCTGCCCAGGCCACCCAGAGAGGAGCAAAGTCAATGAGGGGAACAGGAAGGTGTCTGGCTGCAGCATCAGGCATCCCCTGCATGTGGCCCCTGTGGGCCCTCACCCCAGGGTGCCCCTCTGCCCCTGGCACCCTTCCAAGTGTCCTCCCCATCCCGCCGACACTGCCCTTCCCCCACACTGGCTCGGGCCCGGGCCCCTTACCTGCGTGTCAACATACGGGGCTATGACCCAGCCTAGCTGAGCCGCCTCCTCCCTGCCTCAGCTGGAGAGCAAGTTCTCTGCTGCCGGCTCGGCGCACAGTCCCGGACTGAGGCCGGCTCAGAGCACACAGGGCTCCGGTTGCTCTGGGGAAGTTCTTGGTAAGTGGCATTTGCATACAGCAGATTTGCATAAGCAGCTTCACTGCTCGGGGTTTTGAAGGGGAATTCAGCTCGCGGGACGTGTGTGTCAGATGGAGATGCCCTGAGCCAGGGTTGGTGCCTGCAGCCTCTTTCTGCAAGCTGCTAAGCCCCCCAGCAACCCGGGCAGGCCCCCCAGCCCCTCACCCGGGCGGGCCCCCAATCCGCTCACCCGGCCAGGCAGGCCCTAGCATGGTCCAGTGGACGACGTGCCACCAGAAATGGCCCCATGGAAGGTTTGCGAGTCTAGAGTGCCTCTGTTACGTGACCCATGCCTATTTGTCAGGCCACATGTGGCGGGGGGCACCGCCGGCCCCGGCCTTATTGCTCAGATCTCCAGCCAGCTGTTTAACTCGACAGGGTTAAAACAAAGCCCAGGTCAGAAATCCCCCTCTCCCCCGGGCAAACAGACCCAGTTTGAGTTGTAGCCTTCCCAAAAAAAGAACCCGGGGGTGTCGTGTCTACCAAAGGGTTTGAACCTCGGTCACTGAGCCCAAATCCAGGCCTTATGCCTCCAGAATAGCTGACCCCCTGTGCTTCCCAAAGCAGAACTAAGAGCTGAGCTGCCTGCATTTTCCGTCTGGTGGGGGAAGTCACAAGGTCATGACTGAAAGCCAGATCCCTTGCCAGGGCCGGCCCGGTGGCACCCTGGCGCCCTTACCAGAGCTAAGCTAGCTGGGGCCCAAGAGCACCGGCCCGGCGGAAATCCCAGGGCGCTGAGCTCTTTTTTCCACCTTGTGTCATTTTAGTCCCCCTGGAGGACTGAAAACTGGAACTGCTGAGGCCAGCAGCTGCCTCTTGAGCCTCACGCTGCCCCAGGCAGTTCACTGGAAGGGGGAACTAGAGCAGAAGCACAAATATTAGCATAGATTTGCATTTTGCAAAAACACCGAGGAGGCTTGAATCTCAGTAAGGGGCCAGGGCTTGAGATCTCGGCTCTGAAGCCGGGGGGAGGAGGGGGGATGAGACAGGCATGGGAAGAATTTTACGGGCTGCTGCCTCTCGGCCTGCCCACCTCGGAAAGAATTGCCGGGCGCCAGTGGGAGCTGCAATCCCCAGCCGCTTGCCAGGCCTTGGCAATTTTCACCTGTTTTCCACCTCAGGCCTTGTGCTTTATTATGGAACCTTGCAACCTTCCTGTGTCCCCTGGACTAGCTGGCACGCAGCCCGTGCTGGGTGTTCCTGCAGAGACGTGGATGGCAGAAGGCCTTACGTTGCCGCAGCGCGCGCTCTGCACGGCGTCCCCGGCGGCAGGAGCGATGGACTCTCACGCAGACGAAACGCGCCTCCTGCGCTGGGTCGTGCCAGTCTGCCCGCTGGGTCCCCAAGGGGGCACAGCGCTCCCATGAGAGCGCAGCCCTTGGGGTGCTGCCAAGCTCAGGCGCCTCCCAGGGAGATCCCCAGCTCCTGCCTCTCTCCGGTACGGCTCGTGCCTGGCCGAGCAAAGCCCCGGAGCGGTAGGGCCGCCTGCGGTGCCCATGCTCTGCTCTAGGCGAGCTCCTTTGCCTTCCCCACCAGGCTGCTTGGCTGGTCAGGCCAGGCTCCGTGTTGTGTGCCACACCCATGCACGGGAAGGCCGGCTCCACTCCGGGATCTTTCCCAGCAGGGCTATGTTGGATCTCTAGGTCAAGGGCTCAGTCGGGGCTTGCTCCTGGAGTGGGTTGAACGTGCTGCCGGATCTCTCGGGCGCGTTCCTGGGACCGGCCTTTCCCGCGAGGAGGCGCGAGCAGCGTTTCTCTCACACGCAATTGGCGGCTCCTAGAAATGAGCTGGGCCTACAGCTGCTTTGCAGGATGCTCCTCAACCAGAAACCAGCTCGTCCCTAGAGCCTGGCTCAGACCAGGGGCTGGTTAGAGTCGTGCGCTTGTGGGTAGTCCCGGAGCAGGTTCCCTCCCCCGTGACCCAAATCAGCATGCCCCCTGCAAGCAGGCGCTCGGACACCCCACGGACTCCCTCGCACGCCCCCGGCCTGCAGCCCCCCTAAAAGTCCAGGGGGGCTGCAGCGGGGTGGGGGGAACAAGAATCTGAGGCAGCACCGTTTCCGCCCGGCCAGTCCCACGGCGGCAGGAAGTGGTGATGCTGCTACAGGATGCACGGGCCCCGGCGACAGGAAACTCTGACACGAGACAGGGCTCGAAAAACCCACCCTGCTTCTAGCTACTTGAGCAACAATGGGGTTCCCCGTGCGGGGCGGAGAGCCCCCCTCTCAGCACATTTCCAGTAACGCGCGCTGGCTGCCGACGCGCCGAGCCGGAAAAGTCCCAGGCGTGGAAAGGTGCCTGTGTCAGGGCCAGGCTGTTCGCTACCTGGCGCGCCGACGCTGCTTCCGACGCTCGCCTAGCGCTGGAGGGCGGGATTGTGATCCCCATGGGGCTGCCTGGTCACACCCAGGATGGGCAGAGGCAAGGACAGGACTTGAACCCACCACCCTGCACTCCCCAAGGGAATGGTGCACAGCAAGCGTCCCCCACGCTGCCCGGCCTGGGTGCCGTTCCCCGGTGTGAAAGGCTAGTGCTGGGAAGAAAAAGCAGTCCCTTTGCCGCACGTGGCCTGGGACTGCAAACAGGACTGGCCCTGGCCTCGGGCAGGATCAGCGCTTAGGGAAACCACGTCTGGTGACGATCGGCGCTCATCCCGCAGGGGATCTCAACGCGCTCTACAGAGAGGAGGCTCGATGTCTGGATCCCGCAGGGCCAGCCTCAGGCAGGGATGGGGGGAGAGAAGCCATGATACCCGGGCCCTGCCTGCAGTAGTACAGACAGTCCTTTCTCAGGCAGGCCAGGAGGAGAGCACAGGGAGGTCGTTCCAGCGGCTGTGGGCCGACGCACGGAGCCGTGGTTCGGTACATTCTGGAGCAGGGGGGCTCTGTCTGTTTTCTCCCCCCGCAGCAGCTCATGGCTGGATAGAGGATAGCAGCCTACTACTGCTGCTAACCAGTGACGGGATCCCTTTCGCGCAGGTGGCAGAAGCTCGTGCTCTTGGCAATGACGATCTCTGAAGATGATCCGGGGTGGTGGGGTTGTTATGGGGATTAGACACAGGGCCGGCCCACAGCATTTTGGCACCAGAGGCAGGGAGCTCAAATGACGCCCCCCTGCCCATCGCTTGGGCCAAAACTTTGAAAGGTCTCGATTCTGCCTCCTTCCTCTGCTGCTCCTCTCATGGTCCCGCTCTGCTCCCTACATCTGCACCAGCAGACACACAATTTTCTACACTCTGGCTCCTGAGGCGGCCGCCTCAGTTCACCTCATAGTAAGGCCGGCCCTAATTAGACACACCCGGCTTCAACCCAGGCCTCTATGGATCTTGAATGGCACTCGCATCGGGTTACCCCGCCCACACTACGCCGCCCGCCTGTGAGGAACCCCATTAGGCCACAACTGTGTTTACACTGGGCTTCAGCTCAGCCTTGTAATTTGGCGCAACGTCCAACAGCCCCACTGCTTGGAGAGCGTGCGGGAGGTGCAGCATTGCTTTGGGTCAGGCCGGTGTCTCAGCATGGGCACCCAAGATCACTGGTCAGGTTTCTTTTTAACAGGCCCAGTCCTGCTCACCCTGACTTTGGGGAGGAACCTTCTCTCACACAAACAGGCCGGCTAGGGATCATAGGATGACTCCCTGCTCTGTTCATTCCCTCTGGGGCACCTGGAATTGGCCGCTATTGGCAGACAAGACACCAGGCTGGATAGATCTATGGTCTGACTCAGTGTGTCCGTTCTTATGTTCACTAAAATGACAGCAACTCATGAATGTGAGAGATCTGTGTAAGTGAAAGAGGATACTAATCAGAATGAAAAGACTGGGACTTTTCAGCTGGGGAAAAAGGAGACTAAGGGGGGATAGGACAGAGGTCTGTAAAATCAAAACAGGAATGGAAAAAGTGAATAAGGAAAAGTTATTTACTTGTTCCCAAGAAGTAGGGATTCCCAAGAACTAGGGACCACCAAATGAAATGACTAGGCAGAAGGTTTAAAATGAACAAAGGGAAGTTTTTCTTCATGCAGCGCAGTCAACCTGTGGAACTCCTTGCCAGAGGATGTTGTGAAGACCAGGTCCTTAACAAGGTTCAAAAAAGAACTAGATACATTCACGGAGGTTAGGTCCATCAATACTTATAGTCAGGGTGGGTAGGAATGGTGTCCCTGGCCTCTGTTTGTCAGGGGCTGGGAATGGGTGACAGGAGAGAGATCAAGGATGATTCCCTGTTCTGTTCACTCCCTCTGGGGCACCTGGCGCTGGCCCCTGACAGTAGACAGACGCTGGGCTGGATGGACCTTTGTCTGATCCAGTCTGGCCGTTTTTATGTTCTTATGCTGTGACTTTAGCATCTCCATCTTGTGATCTGCTAGGATGAGAGTCACCTTGGGGCTCTGACGATGGGCAGTACAGATGAGTCAGTGTTGAACCATGTGTTTACTACCCAGGATGCCAGGCACAGGTAAGCCCTTCAAGTAGCAGCCCTGGAACCTGCGATGGGAAAGTACCAAGTACCTGCTGGCTGCGGGTAAGGTTTCACCTGGGCAGATGAGTCTCTGTTGTTGTTCATGAGCAAATCGCCCTAGAGGCCAGAGTTAGGAAATCCCCAGCTCACCCCGCCAGGCGCCAGAGCGTTAATTGCCATGATGTCATGGCGTCGATTTGTAATTCGGTGCGTTTCCGGAGGCGCGCTGCCCTGTGCGGACACGGCACGTACAGCGGCGCTGACTCGTGGAGCATCCTCGGGGGGTAGCTGAGAGCTACTTGCCCAGGCACCGGGGGGCTCGGACCCAGGGGAGGGCTTTTGATTGCCCACGGAGTGTGGATTGGGCTGGAGGGTGAGTCAGTGGCTCCCAGGTCCATGGGGTGCAGCAAAAAGCTGGGAGGGAAGACCCATGGATGTGGGCGCAGCAGATCC